CCTCAGTCGTGGTATTGAAGGTGGGAGAGAGCACAGTACATTCACTCCCCCCACCTACAATCCCTGCCAGTATGATACTCGAACCCGCAACCTTTGGGTTACGAGTCCGACTCGCTAACCATTAGGCCACGACTTTCCCCAAGATGAAACGATTGAATCTTGCATCCCGACACCCATCGTCATTTACAAATCCCCACGACACCCTACGTCAAGCAGATTGTGCCAAAATTGGGCTAAAATCCAATAATATGAGACCATCACCATGTTGCCATTTGTGAAAGACTCACTGAGCGTTGGCCGAGAACGAGGCAGACACCATTTTTGGTGGAAATGAGGTAACAGCAAAAAAATTTATTTTTTATATAATTTTATAACAACAACAACAAAAATAATAATATGTTAACAACAACAATAATAATAATAGGTTAACAACAATAATAATAATAATTACAATTTAAAATTTATTTACATATGTGGTCACCAGATAGGCAAGTAATACTGCCAAACACAAATATTACTGCCTCAAACCAAGGAGCCAGATGCTACCAGGGCTTGACAGCCTCGCAAGATGCTGAGGCATTGAGGGACCACGCAGACAGTAGGCACTAAGCAGAGGGATGGAGAAGCCGAGACTGAAAATTATGTGACAGCCAATAGAGGAACCTCTGAAGGCCGTGGCAGGAGCGGCTTTCACAGGAACCTCTAGTTACTCTGTTTACCAATATTACATTTTCCTCTTCATATCTGTTTGGTGACCTGGAACAAAAAAGAAAGAATACAGAGATTAGGGTTATTGTCTACACACATTATAATTAGAAAAGAAATTTGACTTCAGATTTCTTCTCTTCACAATAAACAAACAACATATAAAAACAAATGCACCAAAGTACAGAGAAATTATTCTTAAAGAACACATTTTTTTAGGGAAAAAACAAAACAAAAAACAAACCATTTGCAGCTCAGTACCTTAAACCATTCATGTAAAAGGATTTCCCCCAAATCAATCCGCTGGCTTGGGCTTTCATTCAGCAGGGACCGAATCAGGTGGCAGCAATCTGGAAGAGAGGAAGGGACGAGAGAGTCAGATTATCACCTTAATCTTTATATCTCCTCTCTTTGTATTAAGATTTGTATCATAAGATTTTACTATTCTATACTGCACAATCAGAAAATCAGGTATGATTCCTGTATTATCCATCTTTTATAAAGACACTTGGCTCAGGTGTTACTTTTCCCTCCTTGTTTTGTATGATTTAAATTACAGTTAGTCTGCTTTGTTTTGATGAATGGCATCTTACCGTTCGACAAGTCAGGCTTAGACCAGATGCCGCAATTAATAATTTCTATGTCTCTGGGTTCTGGGTAGTGTCCACACACCAACATGAACAATAGAACTCCCAGAGACCATACAGTAGTTGGTTTTCCATGGTACTTGTGGTCCACGTAGTACTCAGGTGGGCAGTACTCTGGTGTGCCTGAAGGAAAGAGATTTTGTCTGATGGGTAAGCTTAAACTACTACAGTTTTCACTGTAAAAAAAATCTGGTATTATTAAATATATGTATATTTTTAAATTGCTGCGTCAAAAGCAAGTTTTACAGGTTTACAGGACACCAATTTAACTTGTCACTAGAAGTCCCAAACTACTGGTGTGATGCATAATACATACCACAAAATCGTTCATAGCCGGAGTCTTGCAGGAGATCACCACACCCGAAGTCAATCAGTTTGACCTCAAGCGTTTCTGGGTTGAGCAGCAGGTTCTCCAGTTTAACGTCCCGGTGAAATACTCCTCGTTGACAGCACATGTGGGCGGCCATTGTTGCCTGTGCCATGATAAACTGTGCTGTGTCCTCGCTGAGGAAGCCTCCCTGAAGCATTGTATAATCCCACAGATCTTTGCAGGGTGACGGACATTCCAAGACCATGATGTAACGTTCAGGCTGGTCCTGCCAGTCCAGCAGCTGAATGATCTCTGGAACTCTGGGCTCCTTATTAACAAGGAGTAAAAGGCCGATCTCTAACGGAAGGGGTGCGGGATGCCCAGGCTAGAAAAAATATAATTGTTAGATGGAGGTGCTTCCCAAAATAAGGACTGTTGTCAGGATGTTTGCACAGTGAGCGTAGTCTACTTACAACATAGATGTATTTCATGTTCCTTGGCTTGCTGGCAATTTTCACGGCCACCTAAACAGCAAAACAAAACATTTATTACATTTACAACATGGCAAGTGCACTAAATAAGGGACATAATATACACTGAAATGACTTACAATGGAAGAACATGACAATACCTCAAGGCCATCCTCCAAGCGTTTCCCTTCATAGACGCAGCCGAATCCTCCCTCACCAAGCATTTTGCCGATTTTATACCAGCTCAGAATGTCATCTGTTAAAAGATTAACAGTCGTAGATGACATGAAATGTCAAACAGTAGTTTGTGTAATGTTTGGGGCAGTAAACGTACCCTCAGTTGTCAAGTTCACTCTGTTGTTATGAGCTGATGCTGGACTGACTGGACTGTGGTGGACTGGAGGGTTTTGAACCTGCTGATCTGCAGGAGGAAGGTCTTCGAGATCACTGGAAACAGATTCCTCTAGAGACCAGGCAATGGACTGCAGAGAAATATGATCTAAAAAGGGGAATAACAAACAAAAGGATGTTCTAAACAAATAATAATTTCATATTGAACACTCATATTATGACGATTGTAGATAACATATGGCAATTAAGCAAGCTTCATGAATTAGATTCCCATTAATGGATACTCATATCTAGCTAAAATGTATGTGGATTTCTTGATGTGCAGAGCTCTAGTAAACAGTGAACATTCACACAATCTCAAATAGGGTTGTGCAAATAATCAAATGCGATTTTCATGCGCATCTCGTCAGTAAAGCCGGTTCTGTGACTAGTAGTAAATCTCCAGCACGTGCTTGCTGAGCTGCAGTTCACTGACAAGCTACACAAAATAGCGTTCAAAATCACAGGCGATTCATTGCCGATTAAGAACGCGATATTGCGTAGCTTGTCAGTGATCTACGGCTCTGTGTAGTAAATGCTGCTCCATCTGAAAGCACGTGCTGGAGATTTACTACTAATCACAGAACCGGCTTTACTGACAAGATGTGCATGAAAATCACATTTGATTATTTGCACAGCCCTAATCTCAAATGGACATTTGGTTTACCCTCTACTTGTCTCTCATATATCATCGCTTGGTCTGAGCTGCTGCTCCATTTAATGGATTTAAGAGAGAGCAGCTTCTCAAAACTCTCCGCCCTCTTTTTCTTTCTCATTGGCATCTCATTTTCCTCACCAGCACCAACGTGCAGATGGTTCTCAGCCACATTGGGGCTGGATGTTGGTGGTGTACTATGATGGGAGTCGTACACCTGATCGTTGAGAGAACTTTGTTTTCTCTTTCGGCCAATGATAAAAGATGTCTGCTTGGTTTCATCTGCGTTTAAAGAGATATAACATGTTCTGGGATAAAAATCTGATTGTGGTCGGAATCAAACTTCAACTGATTTTTGATAAAAGTGTGTGATATTGTGGATTTTCCCATATTGTGATGAATGACACATCATCCTTGAAAAATTACCCTAATTAAAAAAATATGTTGAGTTTATGATGCATAAAGCTCTAGTAAACAGAAAAAAGGAACACATTGTCAAATGGTTGTTTGATTTACCCTCAGCTCGTCTCTCACCAATGGCTGCAATAATCTGGTCCTCCACTTTCTGACCCTGACCCTGACCTGAAATGCTGCTCCAATCAAACAAATGAAGAGAAGGCAGCTTCTCAAAACTACTCTTTCTTCTTCTCTGTTTCTCCTGACTATCATTTCTCTCACTAACAGGCTAATGAAAAAATTATAATAATAATAAATCAGGGTTAGTGTCAATGAACATTACACATAAAAAGATTGGACTTCAATGTGCACTATTAAAGAGTGAGCATAATATGCACTAAGATGTCTTGAAATGGATTTAGTGAGACAAAACAATTTGCCAGTTTAATAATGCAAGAAAATGACGTTTCACTTTCACTTTCGAGATCACGCGTGCTCTGTGTAAAGGAAGCAGATCTTATGAGATAGGATATTTTTCAATGAGCTCAGGATCTGTTAGAGCAGCAAATCTTCCAGTATGATCTTCTCAGTCATCTCTAATAATCTGAGACACCTCAGTGCAAAAGGCAGGCATAGGGGGCTTCTTAGGATGTTTGGAACATACTAACATGATTTGGCACCAGTTGCAAATGGCCAAAAAGTAGAAGAAAGACCTACATGTGGTGTAGATCTTGCCAATGCCTTTGGGACAGTGCCACATAACCTGCCGCTACCGCAAACATTCTAACACTGCATAGAATTTTCATGCATTAAGGAGCCGCTATCAATATGCAGAGTATAATCTCTTTTTTGAATGAGCGCTTGCTTCACTTTCACTTTCGAGATCACGCGTGCTCTGTGTAAAGGAAGCACATCTTATGAGATAGGATATTTTTCAATGAGCTCAGGATCTGTTGGAGCAGCAAATCTTCCAGTATGATCTTCTCAGTCATCTCTAATAATCTGAGACACCTCAGTGCAAAAGGCAGGCATAGGGGGCTTCTTAGGATGTTTGGAACATACTAACATGATTTGGCACCAGTTGCAAATGGCCAAAAAGTAGTAGAAAGACCTACATGTGGTGTAGATCTTGCCAATGCCTTTGGGACAGTGCCACATAACCTGTTGTGGGCAGCAATTGATTTCTTCCATTTTCCAGAACAGATAACAAAGTTGATTAAAGCCTGCTTTCGGGATCTTCAGGTCTGTATTACCATTATTATAGTACCACCACCTGGCAGCAGCTGGAGGTTGGCATAATGGCAGGTTGTACCATCTCTCCACTGGCATTCACTATGGCAATGGAGATGATAATTTGGGCATCCCATTGGGTGGTTGGAGGGGAACGTTTGAAAAATGGGTTGCGGCTCCCTCCAATCAGGGCAGACATGGATGATGTGACTACCATCACAATGACTAAAGCATGTACTAAGCGGCTGCTGGATAAGCTCCAGGAAAACATCAGATGGGCACAAATGGAGATTAAACCTGGAAAATCTCGCAGCATCTCCATTATCAAAGGCCGACTCACTAATGACAGGTTCTGTATAGCGGGAGAGCCCATACCAACGGTCATGGAAAAGCCCTTTAAAAGCCTTAGACATTGGTACACCGCAGACCTTAAAGACTCAAAACATGTGGAACAACTCAGGCAAGAGACAGTCAGTGGACTCAAGAGAATCAATGGTACAGCTCTTCCGGGGAAGTTGAAGCAGTGGTGCTTTCAATTTGGTTTTTTGCCATGGCTTATGTGGCCAATTTACATATACAAGCTCATTTTATCTCACGCCAAGCACCTGGAGAGACTGGTGAGTACACAGTTGAGGAAATGGATTGGGCTACCAAGATGCTTTAGCAGCATAGGGCTGTACGGCAATGGAGCTATCTCTCTTCCTTTTTCAAGCCTTGTGGAGAAGTACAAATGCGCCAAAACGAGGCTGGAGATGACGCTTAAAGAATTCCACGATCCCTGCGTAAGAGATGCTGCTCCAACATTTGCGACAGGGAGGAAATGGAATCCAGTTACAACAGTTGCTGCTGCAAAGGCATCCCTCAGACACCGGGATATTGTGGGGAAAGTCCAATATGGTAGAGAGGGACTTAGGTTGGGAATAATAACACCTAAATGGCAAAAGGCAACAGCAAAGGAACAGCGACACCTGGTGGTGGAGGAGGTACGCCGTCAGGAGGAAGCAACTAGATGCGCTAAAGCAGTCTTCCAAGCCCAACAAGGCTGCTGGATGAGGTGGGAAGGTATAGAACAGTGCAAAATCACTTGGCGTGAGCTGTGGAGCATGGAAACCAACAGGCTAAGTTTTATCGTTAGAGCTACATATGATGTGCTGCCCTCTCCAACAAACTTGCAGGTATGGTGTGGACAAGACCCAGCCTGCCACATGTGTGCAGCCCCGGCAAACCTCAGACATATCCTGGTGGGTTGTAAGACCAGCCTGACACAGGGAAGGTACACATGGCACCACAATCAAGTACTGAAGTGCTTGGCGGCAGCAATGGAGACCAAGACAGTGTCAACAAACACCATCCCCCAAAATGCCAAGAATACTTTACCAAAAAGACAGTCCTTTGTTAGGGAAGGGGAGAAAAGCGGGCTAAGTGCCTGTCCCCTGACGCAGGCCAGCTGAATATAGCCAGGGACTGGGAACTGTGAGTCAACTTAATCCACAGGCTCACTTTCCCATTTGAAATTGCAGTCACAAATCTGCACCCAGACCTGGTTCTCTGGTCCAACTCCAGATCGTTATAATAGTCGAACTGACAGTCCCTTGGGAAGAGGCCATTAATGAGGTCTTTGAAAGGAAGAAGCTGCGATATGCCAACTTGGCAGCTGAAGAAGAGGAACAGGGCTGGACAGTGAAAGTATTCCCGGTGGAAGTGGGCTGCAGGGGCTTAGTGGCTAGTTCCACTATAAGGCTGCTGAAGGAGTTGGGTATCAGAGGACAGGTCCAGCGGAGGATAATCAGAAAGAAGTAGCCACTGGCTGTGGCTGAATCAGATAGACACAGGGTGGGCTGCCAAATGACCATGTAACAAGGTGACACACACCCGGGTCTAATCAGCCTGTGGTGGGCCTGCTTCGGCTGAGGGTGTCTTATGATAAAGGGCCGAAACACCCAATAAGGCTGGTACACAACTGATGATGTGTTGCATTGGTGGAAACACCATGCAAAGGTCATTGGCAACATCACCTCAACAAAAGGCATCTTTCACCCAGGCTACAACATGAAAGATAAGTACATATCATGTACAGCATAACATATCATCAAAACATCAAGGATCCCCACCCGATGACGCAGTGAAGAAATGTACCGTCTTCATCTATCCATCTTACCATACTAGTCCTTTTTCTTATTGTTCCCCAGTCACGCATAAAGCAATTGTAAATTCACGACTGATTATTGGGTATTGAGGCAAGAACCACAGATATGGATTAGGCCATGATCCTGGATTCTTGCTGAAATAAATCAGAGTGTAATTGCTGCATCTTGCTGTGTTCTGCTCACAGCGAAGGAGAAAATGTTCTATGGTGCAGCTAAATAGTGCTGAATATGGGATCCGAATACCTAGTCCTATTATGCAAACTAATAATGTCACTCTAAAGGCTGGAATACACTACACAACTTTTACCCTGATTTACAGTCTGGAGAAGTTCACGCAATTGTTTGCCGAAAGTCAGAGCCAGTCTGCAGATTTGAGTCGACGGATTTCATTGAAAATCGCGTAGTGTACAATGGTTAGACTCCCGATTTTTTTAGCTTCAGACTTAGATTCCATCCAGTCGGAGGATATCAAACATGTCGGATATTTTCAGCCGATTTTGAACCACATATTGTTTTCATTTGTCATGCACCTGCAACAAGGCGCACACTTCTGCATGAGTTTGTTGTCATCGAAATGACTTTAAGTCTGGTAGTGTGTGATCCTCAGTCGAGTAGTGTATGATGCCCAGTTTTTCCTTTGTGACTGTTTACAAAGTCAGTAAGTCTATAATGACTAGCGTTTAAAAATCTGTTCCATGCTGGAATACACTCATTTTAAAATCTGACCAGATTTAAAAACACAAGGCATCATACACTCACCGACTTTTTAAATAGTCACAAAAGGAAAACTGGCCATCATACATTAAAGTCTGGTAGTGTATGAACCTCAGTCGTTCCGGTCACAAAAATCCCATGAAATTTGCATCCCTATTTTTATCTCATGTAGGCTATTGTAAAATGATTTTTGAAAAAGGCACTGAGGTCCACCCATATGTTAACAAGGTCCACTCAATTTAAAATTTCTGGCCTCGCCACTAATGTGTAAACGTTTCTTCCTTTTGATTTTCCCACCAAAACCTTTCTCTTCTTTTACATGTAGACTGATTTTTATGTGATGAACTCTACAGTCTTTCATAGACAACCTAGGAAGTCTGGGAAGATCTTGTGTTTTAAGTTTCGTTACAAGCTGTTCACACATTGACAGTAAAAAAGACTAATGCATGAAAATTCTTACATATAGCCCCTTTAATTTAGATCAGGCCTTTAAATAAAATTAAAACAAATAATATAAATTAAAATTAAAATAAAGGATTGTTTTACTGGAATATCTATCATAATCTTAATGAAAATGATCTTATATGACTCTAAAATAATACAAAAAAATAGATCTTTTAAGACTATATGATTAATAGAATAAAACAATTCTTAATTCTTTTAAGAACTTTATTCTGACACAATACAGCATGTTTCTGAATATCAAAATAATTCTCTATGATTCTTATTTGATCTTGATTCATTTCTGTTGGCAAAACCATTCAGTTTACCATGATGAAATTCTAACCTGGATCTACACTAACTTCTAGAACGTCTGTCAGATGTACAGTATGTGTCAGTGTGTTGTGCGTCACTGTGGGTTAAGGCTGGCTTATCTTGTTGATCTAAATGAACATTGCCTTTGTTTGTGTAAAAACACAATATGCATCCATTAGGCTATTGCATTACTGGGGTTTGTTTGAGAGCCAGTCAATAGGAAGGATTCAGTTGTCATTTGGGAAGCTGGTGTATTTTTGGCAGGGCTCAGAACCCTTTATATAGAGGAAATCACCAGGATTCCTCTTCTAGTCTTTATGCATAAGGACTAGAGATGGATGGCAGACTCTTTACTTTGCTATTTCTGATCGTAATTAATATCATCTCAGCATGTGGCGAAGCAGTTAGTGAAGGGCTTTTTTGCTCAGAAAATCAGCAGGCATTTGAAAGCTCCTGCTATGAGTTTGTGGCCCTGCAGCACAGTTTCCTCAGCGCTCAGGCTTGGTGTGAGCGGGGCGGTGGGCACCTGGCCTTCATCCAGAATGATGAAACCCAGCAGTTTCTACAAAAACACCTGCAGCCGGAGCAGGACTGGTGGATAGGACTGGTGTCTACCTCCATCAACCTCACTCTGGACACGCAAGGTATGTGTTCGGTGTAGATTATTGTGAAAGCTTGAATTAATGCTGTCCAGCAATAGTGTAGTTTAAATATTATGGTATTTATATTCATTAGAAATTGTAACACATCAAATATTTAGGGCTAAATTTAAGATTGGAATTGCATGTCAATTTTCCATCCATTTGGATTGCACAGATTTAACACAAACACACTAATAAACTTAATGTGATGCATATTTGTCAGTCATAAATAAATGAAACCAGTTATATATTTATCATCAATAAATTAATTTTGTTTAAATCTCATACATTTGAACTAATTAAATAATGCTTGTTCCACAGCTAGACATATTTTAACCATGTTCATACTTTTTGAGTGAATGGATGTTATCGTTTTCTCAGTGAACAGATTTAAGCCACTTGAATAAATGCATTTTGAAAATACGTTTTTATTATATAATTACAATCAAATATATTCAAATAGTTAATAATAAATGCCATGATTTTTGAGTGCAGAAAAAAACAAAACAAAACAAAACATGAATCTTAAATTTAGGCCTATATTGTTATGTGTACATGATTAATGTATTTTTCCACACATTATATATATATATATATATATATATATAATGTAAGCAATAAGGTACGAGAGGCCATGCTGTATCGTGAATAAATCACGGCTGAACTACATTGTTACCCCTTCAGCTGTGATTTATTCACGATACAGCACGGCCTCGAGTACCTTATTACTTTTATAAAACGGTTACCACACAATAAAAAATATTAAAACCAAAAATGTATGTATTGAAATTTTACTTTTTTTGAAGCAAGTTCGTTAAATGCTGTACTTCTGTTAAAAAATAGTTCCTGACAGCAACGGTAAACTGCAAGAGAATGTTCCGAACATGCCTCATCTAATGGAGCTTAAATAAAAACAGAGAATAGGAGCTCTTATCCCCTGTGTCATTTTTTAAACACCATATCCACCTTTTTCTTGCCGTAAAAATGCACTGTAAAAAATAAGTGTAATTTTAACTGTAAAATTTTGTAAAAACGCTACGAAAAAAAACTGTTAATAGGTTAACAGTAAGGTCCCGTACTATATACAGGGGAAAACGGTAAAATATCTAACCAGACATTTCATGTAATTTTACAGTAAAATGCTGTTAATTTTACAGTTTTTAGAAGTAAAAAAAACTAATCAATGTATAATTTACAGTCAAAAACTGTAAACTGATATTCCCAGAATTCCCTGCATGACATTCCACATTTGAAAGTATTTTGTTTAAATAATCATGTTTTTTTAATAGTTTTTGTGGTCTTTATGTTACATCTTCTGTTGTTTAATGAAAGTTTAATGCATTATTTAAGTATTACCATGATGGTGTTTTGTGTTTGCATGAATGACTCTGTGCACCTTCTATATATTAGTATATACTTCTGCTTGTGGCGAAGCTACTTGTGATGAGCTTTGATTCTTCATGCGGCTTTCTCTTTTACCACCTGCATTATTATGGTGGTTGTCAGTATGTTAAAAGTGCAAAACAGATTTTAATAGCGGTGGGCATTGTTGAATTGACTGGTTTACATAAAATTTTAATTTGTTGTAAATTACAGTTTTATACTGTTTATTACAAGTTTACTGTTTTTCTGTATTTTAAATTATTTTGTAAAAACTACAGATTTTTTTTTTTACAGTGTGGGCATAGCCGTTTGTAAAATCTATGGGTCTTGCTTCCGGTCTCATCTGCATCCAGCTATATTTAGCTGTACAAAACAGTTCATTTTGCTGCTTGATATCGAAAACTGGTGTGTCTTATCATATTATTTTTATGTATTATCTTAATTATGAACACACAGGTTTGTAGTGCAAACAGTTTTACCATTTACTGCACGTTGTTACTCTCCTCGTTAGGCGTAATATATATATTAATCTAAAAAAGAAATCATTTTACCTGCGTTAACTTTTCTGTCCTCAGGCGGCTTGATCTGGTTAGATGGTTCAGATGTGATTTACTCAAACTGGCTTAGTGAGTCGATGCTGGATACTGGCTGTGGCTACATCAACACAGACTCTGGATTTCACTGGAAGACAGCAAGCAACTGTAGTCAGGAATTCTACTTCATTTGTGAGTTTGGTGAGTCTTATATAGCATTTTTATATAATTATGTAGAAGTATTTTCATATTTTTGCATGCTCATTGGTTTTATTCCAATTTTTAAAAAAGACAAGTATGAATAAGCATAATTATATTGAGTTGCACCAATAAAAAAGACACTTTTTACAGTGGCAGAAAACAATGCAACTCCATCTGTGGTATGTCCATTGTATGCCTAAGAAATAAAAGTCAAAATAAAAAGAATTTTCATTTGAACAGTTTAAAGGCACTTTTATGAGAAAACATGATATATATCATTTTAAAAATGACAGTTAATAGTTATCCTTTTTCTCTTTTTTGTAGAATTGGGACGCTCTCTGTCCTGTATGGACAGCACTATCCTGCACTGTGGCTTAGATCAGGTGATAGAGGTTGATGAGAGCTACTATGGCAGGAAGACGCCACATTACTGCAGGAGCAACATCTCCAGCTCGCTCACAGCTTCACTGGAGCAGTGCAGCTGGATCAGTGTGCTGGATGTAGTAGCAGGTACTGGCCGACACTAAACACGAAATAAAACAAAAAGAGCTAGTTGTTATTATGTTTTTTTGTAGCACCATGGTATTTGATTAAAAAAAAAATTGGTATAATATATATTTTTAAAAAGTTTTTGAACAAAGTTCCTTATCTCACCAAGTCTGCATTTATTTAATCAAAATATAGTAAAAACAGTCATTTAAATGAACTGTTATCTATTAAAATATATTTTGTACAGTAAATGATATGGCATTAATACTTTAAGTTTTAAACTAAAGCTTTAAGAATATACTTCGTTAAGATTACTTAATACTACAAAAGATTTCCATTTCAAACAAGTGCGGTTCTTTTGACCTTTCTATAAATCAAAGTGTTCCGCAAAATGTATCATGTTTTCTGCGTAAAAGTTCAACATAGCAAATCAGCATATTAAAATCTGTGAAGGATCTTGAGAATGAATGGCTGCTGAAAATTCAGCTTTGCATCACAGAATTAAATTGCATTTTAAATATATATGAAAATGTAATAGTTATTTAAAAAATTGTAATAATATTTCACAATATTACTTTTTTACTGTATTATTAATCAAATGAATGCAGGTGAGCATAATAGACTTCTTTAAAAAAAAATGATTCTATACTTTTGACCTGTAAAGTACCAGCACTATACCATTAATCAGCAACAATCATTTTTTACAGGTTTTTAAGTGCATGCAGTAGGTAATTCGAGAATGAAAACCACTAATGAGTCTCAATGTCTCCACCTGAAGAGGACAGAAAATGCTTTTGTGTGGTGCTTGTGAATTGATGCTCTTTTTCTGACTTCTTTCTTTTAATATGAATGCAGAGCAAACAATATAAAATCTAATATGTAAACAGAGCTTCAGTGAGCTTGTTTTTTTTTTAACTGAATATATAGGGCTCCTGCCAAAGCTGAGGTTTAAAATTACAGCAGGCTACATCATAACAGATGTAAAGCAGGAAAACAAAATGAACAATGTATTGATATACATATACAGTAGTATTCAATAGGTACTAATGGACCTGAAAAGTCTCATAAATGGGCAGAAGAATTGTGAGCATATTTTAAATATTTACAGAGGATTCAGAAAATCTCTTTGTGAGGACAATTCTGTTCATCTACTGCTTTAATGTTACTGTTGTTGTGAAAGTGTTGAGTGTTTGAAGAGCATTGAGAATTTCTGCATTTGTTCTTTTGCTATACCTCAATAATGCTGTTTTGACTGTCTGCAGTAATGAATAGCAATGATGAGGTTTGTTGTTGTCCTCCAAGAGCTCTGTAACGGACAGCAGTTTTGCACGGCTGTGGCAGATGGATCATCTTTTGGAGAGCCGTGTCCTGCGCTGGGAAGTTACCTGTTGGTGGAATACCACTGCAAAGACAGTGAGAGTTGATTTATATTGATCCAACTTATTTTGCAATGGGGAAGTAAGCAATTTCTGTGAATGTTCGAGACTTCTGAGTCATTAGCTTCTATAAGTAAACAACTCGAAAAATAACAAAGTTCAACTGGAGGTAACTACTGCACTACAAACCAGTGTGTTTATGATTATGGTAATATATTAAAATGATAACAAATACTAGTTTGCATATCAAGCGAGCAGATGAAATCACTGAAAGCAAATGACAGCGCACATTCAAGTTACGAATGGCCACATGTTAAAAATAAGGTGGATAGAGAACACACTGCTATGGTTCCTTTCACTAAATAATCTATATTTTCATCAAACAATGTATGTTTTCCATAATGCAGAACCCTCTTCTGTTATCGTGGAAAGATCTGCAGATGATGGTGACGATTCTTTTGTTGAGGTAATCAAATAGATTTTTCAGTTTTGACTTTGTACTTTTATTTATTCACTTTAAAGAGGGCAAAAATGATTTTGTGATAATAACACTTTTCCTCTATCATGACAAGATATGTTTTCAGTAACATTTAGGCATTCAGGTACTGAAAAAGTTGAATCAGCAAATGGCGTTTATTTGTTTTTATTTTTTTAACCAGTTACAACATTTATTGAAAATCCCACACAGACTCTTGTCTCGAAAACGATGTAGTAGTTTCAGGGATTCTCATTATTTTATTTATTAATTTCCCTGCTGGAAAAAAACGATAGCTGAAACCAGCGAAACTGGTAAAAGTTGGTTTAGCAGGCTAGTTTTAGAAGGGGTTTTGACACTTCACAACATTAGATGTAAGATTAAATGTACACAACTGATAAGAAAAAAACTAAGAAGAAACATGTTATGTCAACAACAACAACAAAAAAACATCAAATACGAAGTGTCATGCAGGGCATTCTAGGAGTGTCAATTTACGGTTTGTCACTGTAAATTATACAATGACTTTTTCTTTTTCACTTCCAAAAACCGTATTTTTAACAGTATTTTACTGTAAAATTACATTAAATGTAATTACATTTATTTACCGACTATAGTATGGAAACTTACTATTAACTAGTTAACAGGTTTTTACTGTAGCATTTGTACAGTCTTTTACTGTTAAAATCACAATCATTTTTTACAGTGTTAGAGGGTCAGGCTGGAAGACCAGCTAAAACACTAGCTTGGGGCTCGGAGACCAGCTTCAACAGTTTAAACCAGCTAAACCCAGACAACCAGCTTATGCTGGTTTCAGCTGTTCTTTTCATCAGTCATTTTACTTGTGGAAACAGAACACTTTATTCCAAAAATTGTTTCCTAAATGCTGCTTTTCTAAACCTTTTCTAGAAGGACTCTTTAACTTTGAGACAGGACACTCACAAAAGGGCTAAAAGGGAGGAGCCAGGTGAAAAATGGATTTGTTATCCTGATACAAATAATCCAGGCAGTTTTACGATCGAGTAAGACACATTTTTGTGACCTTTATTTTCCGTTACATGAAACCCTGAAATATATATTTTTAAACTTGCTGAGGGTTTCATATCTTGTGTTGGATGGAGAATATAAAGAAAGTGGTTCTGTTTGTATCTGTACTTCCCAGCTGCCCAACTTGTGGTTCAAATAATAATCGTGAGAAAATCCAACTGAGTATAAATGCTAACTGTCAAAACACGCACTGGTATGTGGAAGATGGCAGTAAAGTGAACAAAAACCGTGTAAGTGCAGTCAGTTTCGAATGCATGTAATGATTTTATTTTCAGAATAAAAGTTTGATACTGTTTTACACTTTTGGCATGATATACAGATGCTTCTCATATGTTTTGGAATAATTTTCACATTGTTCTGTTTCTAGAAAGGCAACTTTAAGAAAGACTGCTTAAACAAAAAGGCACTGAGACTACAAGACGGACAAAATAAAAATGATTTGGAAATCAAAGCCAACAGGATTAGATCTTTCAAGAAGGATATCATCGTAGTGGTGTTTTGTGCGTTGTTTTCATATTTTATGATTATAGAAGCTATTGTATCACAACTATGAATAAAGTGCATCTAATAACTATTTCTGTATGGTTTAGGTAAACAAAGTGGCACAACTTATGATGTGGAGAAAACCATTGAATATTCCTGGATAAAGATGGACAAGAATCAGCTCAAGAACTCCATCGATAATGAATTGAGTCTTCTTGGCGGAGCAGATGACACAGAAGAGGTAAAAAAGATGAACAAATTTGCATACTTAATTTGCATTTGTGTTGTAAACAATTACACACACATCATGTACACTGTAAAAAAAATTCCGTAAAATGTACAGTACAAAAACGGCAGCTGTGGTTGCCATAAATACGGTAGCAACGTTTTAGGTTTCTAACGTAAATTTACAGTTAAATACCGTAATTTCATTAACTGATATAATTTAATATACCAACCTATTGAAGTACTGAAATCTGTTTTGTACCTTTGTAAGAAAGTCACATGATGAACCAAAGCCCATCACAAGCAGCTTTTAAATAATAACATATATAGAAGGTCCACACAGTGTCATTCACACAAACACTAAACACCATCATGGTAACACACATGAAACTGAAATAATGCAATAAACATTCATTTAACAACATTAGGTGTAACACACAACCCTAATATACAAAACTGATAAGAAAAAACTACGAAGAAACATAGTTATTTCAACAAAAAAACATCAAATTTGCAATGTAACGCAAGGAATTCTGGGAATGTCAATTTACGGTTATTCACTGTAAATTATACGGTATTTTTCACTTCCAAAAACGATATACTACCATAAAATGTATGTCCAATACATGTAATGTCCAATACAGTTTTTTACCGTATACAGTAGGGGAATTTACCATTTAACAGGCACTAATGGATCCTCTGCAGTGAATGGGTGCCGTCAGAATGAGAGTCCAAACAGCTGTTAAAAACATCACAATAATCCACTCCAGTCCAACAATTAATGTCTTATGAAGAGAAAAGCTGTGTGTTTCTTGGAAACAAATCCATCATTAATGTATTTAACTTTAAACTAGCCTAAATACATGTTCATAATCCATAATAACACTTTCTCCAATGAAGAAGTCCATTGTCTGTTGTCCTTTCGCATCAAAATCCGTCGACACATTTGTTTATAATTGTTTTGGACTTTTTCACTGGAGAAATAAATATTATGGATATAGGATTCATATTTTCACAGGACGCAAGAGTTTGAAGATAAAAACATCATAATGATGAATTTATTACAAACACACAGCTTTTCACCGGTGATGGTCACTTCAAGGAAGTCATTATATTGTTTATGTTCATGTGACCCTGGGTGGCGAGACCTTGTGATGCATTTTAAAACTAGATGGCGGGAGAGTTCGAGTTAACGTAGAAACAGAATAATTTGAATAAGTTGTTTCATTTATTGTAATATACAGTATTGTACACATTTCATGTCATGCACTTCATATGAAGTTTAAATAAGTTTCATAGGTACACTCTAAAAAATGCTGGGTTGTTTCAACCCAACTTTGGGTCAAATATGGACTAACACAACTGTTGGGTTAAATTTTTACATAAAATTTTTAACCCAAAAGTTGGGTTAGTCCATATTTGATATATTGATCAAGTATGCTATGGTCACTATAAAAAATAAATCTTTTTGCTTTTTATGAATGTTTTCATCTTTGTAAAGAAATATTGTGAAGAAAGAAATATTTTTGATTAATATCTTAAAACTAAATTTAAGGTTTGAACTTTACATTTTATTTAATTTGAGAAAGACTAATAAATCTGGCTGTAATAAATTAGAGAAAAGTATAACTTTTTTAGTTAAACTGATGTGACAAGGTAGTTGGTTTGTTGCTTGTCCAAGATGGTTTCGCATCTTGCACCAGCTAATGACCAGTTATAAACCAGCTATTATGTTCCAAAACACAGTTAACTATATCAGGAAATCTGCTGATGTTCTCACTGCCTTTCAGAGCGACATCTCTGGTTATTTGCTCACTGCGGTGGACTCTGTGCAGACATTCCTGCTCACAAATAAAACACCTGATCTGGAGCCCACCATCATCACCTCTCCTAATGTCAATATTTACGTCAACAGGTAGGACACTCAGAATTCAATTAATTGCTATATGATCAGTGAACATAAGACACGTCATTGAGAACATTTTGTGTGTTTTGAATTTTTTGTGTGTGTAAGGATATCGCCAACTAACCTCCAGAAAGAGCCCTTCAGCATTGAGGACAGTGCAGCTGGATTCAAGCTTCCGCATCTGGGCTCTGATATACTGCCTGTTAATGAGCCAGTGGATGTGAAAGTGGGTGTTTTTTAGTCACTACTAGCCGAAAAAACATCAATAATACAAAATCAAATTAGATCATTTATCTGACCTGCACCCTATTTTTTAAGGAATAGCAACAAGAGTTAGCTTTATAATAATATTCCATTCTGAATCTAGCCCTTACTAGTCATTAGAAATGTTTACATTTTATTACATTAAAGGAATAGTTTTCTGAACATTTATTCAGGCTTCGGCCATTAGATATAGATGAGTTTGTTTCCTCATCAGAACAGATTTTGAAAAATGTAGCATTACATCACTTGCTCACTAATGGATCCTCTGCAGTGAATGGGTGCCGTCAGAATGAGAGTCCAAACAGCTGTTAAAAACATCACAATAATCCACTCCAGTCCAACAATTAATGTCTTATGAAGAGAAAAGCTGTGTGTTTCTTGGAAACAAATCCATCATTAATGTATTTAACTTTAAACTAGCCTAAATACATGTTCATAATCCATAATAACACTTTCTCCAATGAAGAAGTCCATTGTCTGTTGTCCTTTCGCATCAAAATCCGTCGACACATTTGTTTATAATTGTTTTGGACTTTTTCACTGGAGAAATAAATATTATGGATATAGGATTCATATTTTCACAGGACGCAAGAGTTTGAAGATAAAAACATCATAATGATGAATTTATTACAAACACACAGCTTTTCACCGGTGATGGTCACTTCAAGGAAGTCATTATATTGTTTATGTTCATGTGACCCTGGGTGGCGAGACCTTGTGATGCATTTTAAAACTAGATGGCGGGAGAGTTCGAGTTAACGTAGAAACAGAATAATTTGAATAAGTTGTTTCATTTATTGTAATATACAGTATTGTACACATTTCATGTCATGCACTTCATATGAAGTTTAAATAAGTTTCATAGGTACACTCTAAAAAATGCTGGGTTGTTTCAACCCAACTTTGGGTCAAATATGGACTAACCCAACTTTTGGGTTAAAAATTTTATGTAAAAATTTAACCCAACAGTTGTGTTAGTCCATATTTGACCCAAAGTTGGGTTGAAACAACCCAGCATTTTTTAGAGTGTACCTATGAAACTTATTTAAACTTCATATGAAGTGCATGACATGAAATGTGTACAATACTGTATATTACAATAAATGAAACAACTTATTCAAATTATTCTGTTTCTACGTTAACTCGAACTCTCCCGCCATCTAGTTTTAAAATGCATCACAAGGTCTCGCCACCCAGGGTCACATGAACATAAACAATATAATGACTTCCTTGAAGTGACCATCACCGGTGAAAAGCTGTGTGTTTGTAATAAATTCATCATTATGATGTTTTTATCTTCAAACTCTTGCGTCCTGTGAAAATATGAATCCTATATCCATAATATTTATTTCTCCAGTGAAAAAGTCCAAAACAATTATAAACAAATGTGTCGACGGATTTTGATGCGAAAGGACAACAGACAATGGACTTCTTCATTGGAGAAAGTGTTATTATGGATTATGAACATGTATTTAGGCTAGTTTAAAGTTAAATACATTAATGATGGATTTGTTTCCAAGAAACACACAGCTTTTCTCTTCATAAGACATTAATTGTTGGACTGGAGTGGATTATTGTGATGTTTTTAACAGCTGTTTGGACTCTCATTCTGACGGCACCCATTCACTGCAGAGGATCCATTAGTGAGCAAGTGATGTAATGCTACATTTTTCAAAATCTGTTCTGATGAGGAAACAAACTCATCTATATCTAATGGCCGAAGCCTGAATAAATGTTCAGAAAACTATTCCTTTAATGTAATAAAATGTAAACATTTCTAATGACTAGTAAGGGCTAGATTCAGAATGGAATATTATTATAAAGCTAACTCTTGTTGCTATTCCTTAAAAAATAGGGTGCAGGTCAGATAAATTATCTAATTTGATTTTGTATTATTGATGTTTTTTCGGCTAGTAGTGACTAAAAAACACCCACTTTCACATCCACTGGCTCATCAACAGGCAGTATATCAGAGCCCAGATGCGGAAGCTTGAATCCAGCTGCACTGTCCTCAATGCTGAAGGGCTCTTTCTGGAGGTTAGTTGGCGATATCCTTACACACACAAAAAATTCAAAACACACAAAATGTTCTCAATGACGTGTCTTATGTTCACTGATCATATAGCAATTAATTGAATTCTGAGTGTCCTACCTGTTGACGTAAATATTGACATTAGGAGAGGTGATGATGGTGGGCTCCAGATCAGGTGTTTTATTTGTGAGCAGGAATGTCTGCACAGAGTCCACCGCAGTGAGCAAATAACCAGAGATGTCGCTCTGAAAGGCAGTGAGAACATCAGCAGATTTCCTGATATAGTTAACTGTGTTTTGGAACATAATAGCTGGTTTATAACTGGTCATTAGCTGGTGCAAGATGCGAAACCATCTTGGACAAGCAACAAACCAACTACCTTGTCACATCAGTTTAACTAAAAAAGTTATACTTTTCTCTAATTTATTACAGCCAGATTTATTAGTCTTTCTCAAATTAAATAAAATGTAAAGTTCAAACCTTAAATTTAGTTTTAAGATATTAATCAAAAATATTTCTTTCTTCACAATATTTCTTTACAAAGATGAAAACATTCATAAAAAGCAAAAAGATTTATTTTTTATAGTGACCATAGCATACTTGATCAATATATTTTCTTTAGATATTAAGTCAAAATGTTACTTAATTTAGGTAAATGTAACAATTTTTTGCTTAATTTCACCATAATCAAAAGCTAAATGAGCTATAATATGAAAGTAGAATTTTCACTTACGATAAAACTTCGAACATGCTGTAAATGCGTAATTTAGTTGACCTACTATAAATAAAGACAACTTCGAAAGACCTTAATGCT